TTGGTTGTAAAGAATCAATTTTTATTTATTTATAGTCTCAAAATAGAATAACTTGCATTGTTGTTGGTTATAAATGTGACAAGTACTTAATGTAAAAAAAAAGTGGAGAATGAGCAAAATAGGTGAAGGGTATTTAGAGGTAAAACTTTCAGTTATAAAATAAGTCATGGGGACAAAAAGTACAGCATAGGGGATACAGTCTATATAATACTGTAATAACTTTGTATCCTGATAGATGGTAATCATTATCATGGTAAGAAATACAGAATTATCATAACACTATGTAGTACACCCAAAAAGTAATACAATATTGTATATCAACTATACTTCCAAAAAGTATATTAAATATAAATAAAAATTCCCCAATAATCATACCCCATATCTTTCCAAACTTTTATGTATGAACATATTTTCACATAGGTTTCTAACTTAAAAGGAATCATCACTATCCTATAACCTGCTATAAAGGAAAAACACCTCTTGTGTGTCTCCTTTACTGTTAATACTCACATGGAACCCTTCTGTGACCAGATATGTGCAAAGTTCCCCCACACCCAGCAACTCCAACTCTACAGTTGCTGTCCTGCAACTTAACTCAATTTGGACATGATCCACCTAGAGATAGCATCAGATCTTACAAATTAAGAGCTCCATCCCACACGACTGGCCCAAACCCCACCCCTACTTCAGATGCCAAATGCAAGTCCAGGTTGTCACCTCTGCTTTTGACTCATGGGCTATAAATTGGAAGTTCCTATGACCTCTTCCTCAAGTGCAATTAAATTGCTAAAGAAGCTCATAGAACTCAGAAAAGTAGTTTACTTATTAGATTATCAGTTTATTCTAAAGACTATAACTCTGGGAATAGGCAAATAGAAGAGATGCATAGGACAAGGTTTGTGGGAAGGGGCACTGAGCTTCCATGACCTCTGGGTGTGCCATCCTTGCACTTCCACATGTTCACCCAACTTGGAAGCTCTCTGAACCCTTCTATAAGGTTTTTTTTTTTTTTTTAAGATTTTATTTATTTATTCATGAGAGAGATGCAGAGACATAGAGGGAGAAGCAGGCTCCCCATTGGGAGCCCCATGTGGGACTCGATCATCCCAGGACTCCAGGATCACAGCCTGAGCCAAAAGCAGACGCCCAACCACTGAGCCATCCAGGTGTCCCTCCTTAGGGTTTTTACTGTAGGTTTTAGTACATAAGCACAATTGGTCAAATCACTGGTCATGAGTGATTAACTCAACCTCCAGTCCCGTCCCTTTCTCAGAGGTGGGGGTGGGCTAGGGTGGCGCTGAAAGCCTCAAACTTTGAAAACCAGACCTCATCCTTAGGGACCTTCCAGAAGTCACCTCATGTGAGTTTGGAAGGGGCTTGTTATAAATATAAAAATATATACCCTTATCTCTTATTAGGCAATTCCAAGGGGTTTAGGAACTCTGTGCCAGGAACTGGACAAAAACCAAATACATATCCATATCTCTTATTATGAACCATATTATCACACCTGTTTAAATCATTTAACATTACAGGCATTTCTTCCAAGTCAACATTAAGACTTATCTTTCTAATGACTGCATAATATGCTACCTCATAAAAATGGCAAAAATATTTAAAGTATCTAATGTTCAAAAATATCTAATGTTCAAAATTATAAATGATGCTGCAACAAACACATCTGTACACATTTTATAAACATCTGTACACAACTCTAACAATTTCCTTAAAATAAATCACTAAAAACAATCAGGTTTAGTTGTGCTGCCCAATATGGTAAACACTAGCCACATGTGACTATTTAAATTAACTGAAATAAAAAATTTTGAAATTCAGTTCCTCAGTTCTACTAGTCACATTTCAAATACTCCAGCTGATGACAATTATTAATATGTGGTAGCTGATGGCCAGTAGGCAACCGTATTGAACAGAGTAGATAGAGAACATTCCCATGACTGCAGAAGGTTCTATTGATAGCCCTGGTCTAAAGAAACATCCATATAAAAATTTGATACCTGTATCGCACAAAAATGATATAACACTCTTGAAATTAGTATATGCACTCCTACACCCTCTCATTGACGGTATCAGCTAACTATATGAGACATAGTGCTTTAATTTGCCTTTAAAAATTATCAGTAAGGGGGGGATCCCTGGGTGGTGCAGCGGTTTGGCGCCTGCCTTTGGCCCAGGGCGCGATCCTGGAGACCCAGGATCGAATCCCACATCGGGCTCCCGGTGCACGGAGCCTGCTTCTCCCTCTGCCTATGTCTCTGCCTCTCTCTCTCTCTCTGTGACTATCATAAAAAAAAAAAAAATCAGTAAGGGGAAACCTGGGTGGTTTAGTCTGTTGAGCCTCTGACTCCTGGTTTCAGCACAGTTTATGACCTCAGGGTTGTGAGACTGAGCCTCATATAGTGCTCTTTGGTTGGTGGGGAGTCTGCTTGATGATTCTCTCCCTTTGCCCCTCCACCTGCTTGAGTGCGCATGTTCTCTCTCTCTCTCTCTCTCTCTCTCTCTCTCTCCAAAATAAATACACCTTTAAAAAAATTAGTGAAGCTGCAAGTCTTCACATTTTTTGGCTCTGTTTACTTTGTTGCTGTTGAATTACCTCAACTTGGTCTATTTTAAAAGAAATCAAAGCTATCCTGTTTCAGATCACCTACAAAACCAAAACATATGTGCAGTGAAGAGACATTTCTTCATCTATTTTGCTGGTTTCCTAATAACTTTATAAAGATATTTATCAAGACACCATAAAAATAACTAAGAATACCACCACAATTACATAAAGGCAGTCTGTACACTCATGAGATTGTTTCCTTAGTGGAGTTATAACAATGGCTAATACCACAGCACATTGTTTCTACGAGATATTGTCACAAATTTTTGAATTAAGCTATGAAAACATGAGTTGATATACAAATATAAAATAGAAAATGTTTATATTTGAAAAGTGATTTTATTTACACAAAAGTCTGGAATTCGAAAGAAACCAACCTAACGGGAATTAGAACAGTAGGTCTGTGGGTTGGTAGAGGTGGAGGGAATGAACGAGTGGTAAAGCATACGAAGGGAGATTCTGGAATGATGGAGATGTTCTGGATCCTAATAAGGGTGAGCTGCACAGGTATATATAGTTGTCAAGACTCCCTGAACTGTACACAGAACTTAAACAGTTTCACTATATGGAAGTTACATCTTAATTTTTAAAAGGAAGAAAAAAAGTTTAATAGGCATTGCACTATTTAGAATATTCAACTTATAGGTAATAAAAGTAATTATTTTAAATACTTATAGAACTTAAATGTGATTCCTGGTCAGGAGACACAGTTTTACTAAATTGGGGAATGGAAAGCAGAGTATGTAATATCTAGAGCCAAACCACACAACTATCAAGCCAATGGCACTGTAGAAAATTCACTATCAGGACAAAATGTATTAAGGTATCAGAAAAGCACTGCTAATAACATTTTAACAGACATTTAATCAACATTTCTAAAAAGACTGCACCAGGGAAATGAAAACTGAACCAAACCCTTTCTGGAAAATCATTTCCTTAATTATCAAAGAGTATGTGATTTAATTTTCTGAGCCATTTCTGCTGAGGTAGTTTATGAAATTGGCTCTTCTTTGCCCTTTGTTTTTCTCTTCTGGCAGCACACATTAGCACAAAAGCTAATACATGCATGTTAAAACTAACAGGCTTGAAAATTAAAAATGCCTAAGGAAAGACAAGATGCTCCTCTCCATGTCACATTACCTCCCCACTCCCACTGTTACAATGCACATTTAGTATCCCGGCCCAATACCAAAATAGCATAAGCTGTTTAGTGAGTGAGTTCTTCAGAAGCCAAGGCTACAAATCTCATTCAAGTTCTTTGCAGACAAGCTCAGTTGTTACGGTAACTCTTCAGATGGCCTTGCTTATGGGATGAGAAGGAAGGATACATGGGGGATACCAAGACTTCTGTCTCCAAAAGTGAAGGGTTGCCCAGGTAAGGATATGTCCCAGGGGCAAAGAAGCCGGAAAGTGGACATTTTATTAGCGTATCTGCTTTGTAGAAAGACAGCTATTTTTTTACTAAATTCAACATTATATTTAAGAATCAAACAGATCTAGGTTTGAAAATCAGTTCTGCCATTTACTAGATGTGTGATCTCAGGCAAGTTACTAAGTTCTTTTCTTTTGTGGGGAATGCTAACAGTATGTTCCATAGGTGTGTTGTGATTACTTGAAAACACAAATAATTTCATAAGTTCAGTGTCTGGCATTATTATAGGTGCTTAACAAATGATAACTACTATCCCACATGATTCTGTTCCTCAAGAACATTATGTAAATAATGCAGGCCCTAGTCACTGCACTCTGCATCAAACCACCACTAGGATATTCAGGCAGTCATCTGTTGCTATTAAGGAATTAACACAAATAGACAGCATACCATAATTCTAAAGTCTAACTAACAAGTGTCCCATAAAGGAATGGAATTTCAGCAACCAACTATCAATAAAGACTTTTTTTTTTTTTAGAGGCGGGGGTGACGAGTGGGAGAGAGAGATAATTTTTAAACAGACTCTACGCCCAGCTAGAAGCCCAACTCAGACCTCGATGTCACGACCCTGAGATCATGACCTGAGCCAAAATCAAGAGTCGGACACTTTAATGGACTAAGCCATCCAGGTGCACAGATAGCATTTTTTTTTTTTTGAGAGCTAAAAGCTATATATAGGTGCTAGAAAATAAATTATGTAAGATAGACATAAGAACTCAATATTGACCAAAAAAAAAAAAAAAAAAAAGAAATCTGCCAAGCAGACAGTGAATGCTTCCCTGCCATGATACTGATTTATCTCAGCTCCATCACTAATGAAGCAACAAGGACACAGATGGGCAAGTAACTCTTTACTACATGATGCAATCTATGTTTTAGTAGCAGCCACATTTACTCACTTTAAAAGGCAGTTTATGCGGCAGATCATGCACAATAAATATTTACCTGTTTCTCCTCTTCTGGCATGTTTTTTTCCAGTTCTATTAGGTATTCTTCATCAAGTTCAGAGGAATTCACATTATCATCAGGTTTGTTCTCAACCTTGTCCACTCCTGGCTCCTCCTTTTCAAATGAGGCACTAGAGTCATGAAAACACTCTTCTCCCTGGTCTTCTTCCTGAGAATGAGCCTCAACATCTTTGAGCAGCTTGTTGTGAAGATGGTGATCTTTGGGATCAGAAACTGGAGGACTAGCACACTCTGCTTCCTGGGGATCTGTAACTTTCAAACCATTGAAGAGATCCTCTGGAACACTACAGTTTTCTGACTTCTCCCCCATGCTGTATCAGTGAGGGAAGTGAAGCTGAAGCTCTGGGGAAAGAGAAAATATGTTAGGTAATGGTGCTTATACAGTTATCTACCACTTTCCAAAAGTCTGCCTTACCCCACTTAGCTTTTAACAGAGACCTACATTAGTATGGTAACAGTTTCCAAAAAAGTGAAAATCCCCTTCAGTCTTCTTTCAATTAGTGAAAACAGGTAAATATTCATGTAGGTCTTTCATAAACGGAAAGTGGTATAACTCCACCTTTCGGAAAATGGGGGTAGGGGTGCATGTGGATAATCTTTGCTTTAGGCCATTTCAGCTCAGGAAAGTCTTGACAAGAACACTCAACTTTTGCATAGCAGGGGAAACTTGTATTTAAAAAAAAATAATAATAATCCGGGGATCCCTGGGTGGCGCAGCGGTTTGGCGCCTGCCTTTGGCCCAGGGCGCGATCCTGGAGACCCGGGATCGAATCCCACGTCGGGCTCCCGGTACATGGAGCCTGCTTCTCCCTCTGCCTGTCTCTCTGCCTATCTCTCTCTCTCTCTCTGTGTGTATGACTATCATAAGTAAAATAAAAATTAAAAAAAAAAAATCCGGGGGTAGTCCTTGTGGCTTAGCGGTTTAGCGCCGCCTTCCAATCGAGGCCTGATCCTGGAGACCCGGGTTCGAGTCCCACGTCGGGCTCCCTGCATGGAACCTGCTTCTCCCTCTGCCTGTGTCTCTGCCTCTCTCTCTCTCCATCTCTAATAAATAAAATCTTTAAATAAAATACAATAAAAAAAAAATCTGGGATGCCTCGGTGGCTCAGGTCAGAATTCCTGTGTCCTGGGATCAAGTCCCGCACTGGGCTCCCCATGGGGAGCCTGCTTCTCCCTCTGCCTAGGTCTCTGCCTCTCTCCCTGTGTCTGTCATGAATAAATAAATAAAATCTTAAAAAAAAAATCCTATTACACATAAACTTCTGCATCAAAACCCAAAACATACCCTAACTTCCTGTCACTGAAATTCATCATTAAAAAAATTGTTTATCCTAAGTTCCTATTTTTTACTGACGCTCCTTTCAGAATTTCATATAAGCAACGGGGGACTGTTTTGGTTTTTGTTTTGTTTTTTTGTTTTTCTACGGGAGACTGGTTTTAATGTGGCTCTTCCTCTTTCCACTGCTCGAATTTTGTCGGGGTAGCCAAAAAAACAGGCATAAACTATTGTTTAATGGCAAGAAGAAAATGAAACGCCCCTAATCTTTATTCGGAATTAACAGCCCGCTCGTAAATTAAAAAAAAATGCAGGCCTGTCTTTCCAGCACCACCGTATGAAGCTCAAGAGTAAGTTTCTGATGGAGCTCGAACACTGAAGGTCAACTTCACCCAAACGTGTGCTGTAGAGCCCACGCAGGTCACAGTGGGATGGGAATCTGGTCCTCCTCGGGGTCCCCGTGGGGTCGGCCGCAGACACTAAGGGCGGTTCTCGATCCTGGCCAGACTACATAGCCCTTGGGAGGCTTTGGCGAGTCCTGCCGCCCAAACCGTATCCTCCGCGGGCTCTGACTTACCGGTCCGGCGCAGGCCCAGGACACCTGTGCTTTGAAAGGGCAGCCCAGGTGACCCTACTGTACCCGCCGAGGACCGCCGAGGATGCGGTCAGCACTAGCTGAGTCAGACCGCCAGCAGCCCCGCCCCGCCGCCCCTCGTCGCAGCGAAATCACGCCGACAACCCTTGTGCCGCGACAAGGGCCCGAATTCTCCCCAGCTCGTCCCAAGAAAACTTCAAGCAGCGAAATCTTAATTAAGACTTGGCTTCCACAGCAATGTTTTGTTTCTCTCTGCTCCCCGGTCTGCCGTGAGAACGCGAGTCTGAGGCCGCAGGGCTAAGCCAGCGCCCCCCCTGCGCCTCCCAACGGCTCGTCCTCTACCCGAGTCCCTCCCAGCCAAAGCGGACGGAGCCAGGCAGCTACTCACAGGGCCCCAGCTCCTCGAGCCTTCACCTTCCCAGCCTCCGGGATCTATATCCGCTCCGTCAGGTGCACTTCCCTCGGCGCCAACCAATGGCGTCGCTGTTGGCAAAGCATCCTGGGAAATGTAGTGGAAGCCTCCGGGAGAGAGAGCGCGTTGCTGTCGCGTGATGTGACGCCATTGTACGGACGGAATTGCAAGTGTCGGTCGCCATTTTGGGTTACGGCAAGACTCCGCCTTCCTCTGCGCGGTGGAAAAAGAGGCTGCGTCCGGGCTCTTTTTAACGGACTTTTTAAAAGTCCGTTACTTTTTACTCCTCTCTGACTTCTTAAGCTGGCCATGCAGAGAGGAATCTTGAAGCATAAACCTTGTCCAAAATAAAGTTTGCTCAAAGTGTGCCTTCCAAGGGTCCCATTGCTAGAGCAAAACAGTTTTCATAATTATATTAAGTTGCTATTTGCCTTTTCCACCCTCCTTTCATGAATATACTGTTTTCCAGGGGATGTTGTCATGTGATCGCGCAATGGCTTGAATGCAGAGGGAGCTCTGAGAATCCAGCTGTCTTCTATTAAGACGGATATTTGCATAAATGTAAAACAATGCCACTCTTCTCACTAAAAGGGTTTTTTGTTTTGGAAAATACAGTGATTTATAAAAAGATTATTTATGTTGGCACAGAATAGGTGTGTTGTTCTCGTAAATTAGTAAATATTAAGTATTTTTCCGTTCTCATTTCTAATACAGTAAGTATTGGTAAGTATGACCCACATAAACAAAAGCCTTTTGTGGTCTTCACTGATATTAACAGTGTTAAGTGGTCCTGGAACCAAAAATGAACTTTTGCCCAATGAACCCATTCAAGAAATGCTTGTTGAATGTTTGTTAGACCCCATGCCAGAAATACAGAACTGAAATATCCCTTAAGGAAGCCAGACAGGTAATCAGCAGTAACAGCAGATTATTACTTAGTTTTCTGTAATTCACAGAACCTATTGCTGAGATAAGCTGGGAGGGGCTTTTTCAGGAAACTTGTTTTTTGAATTTATGTCTAAATGAGGTTGTGCACACCCTTGCATTTTTGTGTAAGTCAAAGCTTTAATATAAAAAAAACATTAAAAATATATCAGAATTTTGGAAACCTTTTAATATTTAAAAAATTTAAAATATGGCAGGAACTTAAAAACTGTTCAGTGGTTAGCGCTCTTATGACCTTTAAGAGGTCTGGTGAGGTGCAAAGAGATACAAACTTCCAGTTATAAAATAAATAAGTCACAGAGATGAAAAGTATAGCATAGGGAATATAGCTAATAATATTGTAATAATTCTGTATGGTGACAGCGACCATAGTTAGGTGGTGAGCACTGAGTAATGTACAGAATTGTCAAATCATGTATGTCTGAAACTCGTAACATTGTATGTCAACTACACTTTAATAACAATAATAATAATAAATAAGTTCTGTTAAATAAATTCTGGTGTAATAGAAAGGCTATGCATTTTGGAGCAAAATAAGTAAATAAAATAAACTTGAGTTGCAATGTCAGCATTTTTACTTTACTAGTTGTCCAACTTTGACAATTCTAGTAACTAACATTTATTGATTATGTGTTTGTTTGGTGTCACATGCTGTGAAAAACACTTTAGGTGGATTATTTATCATTTGAAATCTAAGTCTGGTTTGCCACTTACTAGCTGTGTGACGTTAGTGTAAATTACTTAGTGCTTCTAAACTTTGATATATAAATTTGCCCCATATGTAAACGTGGGTTGGGTTGGGAGAAAGAAATGATATAATCTACAAGACAAGGTGCACAGGGCTTGACACATAGTGTTTAATGAACATTAGAGCCAATAATGATATGTGACAGGCCTTCTGACAGTAGTGGTCACAGGAAACCTAATAAGACAGTGTTCCTGTCTTCCCCATTCCCAGGAGCTCACAACCTATTAGGGGAGGTAGAGAGTGGGCCTAAGATAAAAGGACTACTGAGCCTGAAGGAAGAAGCAATCCACTTTTTTTTTTTTTTAAGCCAAGAAAAGCCAACGTTCAATTGGCTGAGTTTGGTAAGTCTTCACTAATAAGATATTTGAGTTATACTGTTGAAAGAGTAATAGTTCATTAAGAGGAAAAACAAAACAAACAGGACAGGCTGAGGGCTATCCTAAAAATCTCAGGAATATCTTTGGAAATGATAAATAGTTGGATATTGCTAAAGTAGAGAGCACAAAGCAAGAAACACATTTTTACAAATAGAAGTCCACCAATCAGATCCTGGAACCATGGAAATCTTGTCTTAGTGCTCAAAGCCACTATGTAAAAGGAAAAGAAATGTTTCTCATCTAGAGGGCTGTTCTGTTGTTATTTTCCCAGGGTAGAGACCATGTCTGTCTTGTTTACAGCTGTAAGGGGTCAATGAACATTTGTTATCACATGGGTGAATGATTCTCTTTCAGGGATTTATGGCCAAAACACTGGGTAATGTGGTACTCTGATGAGTTGTACAAAAAGATTTTGAGACTCCTGGAGTCATCTCACTGGATTGTTGTAAGAATTAAATGGTGTCATGTTTTATCTAAAGCAAAAGTGAAGTGCTCAAGACAGAAAAAAATAGTATTAACAGCTCTTAGCATGGTTAAGTGCTCAATAAACATTTGCAGTTATTGTATTACTATAATTAATGGTCTCACAGTATTACCAACATTATGATTACTATAGTTCTTGTAATTTAATTATTAATAGCATTACTTATGATAATATTAAGAGTGATATTTGTGAAGCTTTTATTTACACTCCTCAGAGGGCTGAACCCCTAAGTTTATTGAACAAATGGAAGCTGAACATGAATGAATGAATAATGAATGAATGCTAGGCATCATACAAGACCCTATGGTGTATGCAGCAATGAATCAGGAAAATAGCAAAGGAACCATTTTCTCTTTGCTTTTCTTTCTGGGGAAGCAGCTGGGTGATTTCTTAGGATTTCTTAGTGGCATGAGATGATACAAGAGGAGTCTTATACTCAAGATGGTTCTTTGGGTCACTGCCATGACAATAGGATTACTGTCCAGTATGGTGGTTAAGAATGTAGGCTCTGGAATCAGACTTCCTTGGTCTGAATCTCTGCTCTGCCTCTTAGCAACTGTGTGATCTGATCTTAGACAAACCACTGAACCTTGATATCTACTTCATAAGGTTCCATGAAGCTTAAATGAAATAACAAACCAACGCACTTCCTACAAATCCTTGCACAAACTTTTAACATAAAATAGATTGCTTTGTGGAGAATCTGCAGGCAGGTGTTTCATCAGGATTCATTTTTAATTTTTATTATTTTTTAAAGATTTTATTTATTTATTTACTCATGAGAGACACACACAGAGAGAGGCAAAGACACAGGCAGAGGGAGAAGCAGGCTCCATGCCAGGAGCCCGATGTGGGACTCGATCCAGGAACCCCAGGATCATGCCCTGGGCTGGAGGCAGGCACTAAACCTCTGAGCCACCTGGCCTGCCAAGAATCTGCAGGCAGGGATGGAAATCACTCCTACCTTCCCTAGTGACTTATATATACACTATGCTAAACTTTTGGAAGGTTCTGTGCATATACCCTCCCCGGAACTAGAGATTTAAATCTATGCTAGATGGACTCAGTCTTTTCTGTGCCCAAAGTGGATATATTCAGACCATGGGGCTTACAGAGCCTAGCTCTGAAGATAAAGCTTTATGCTCTAGGATCCTCTAAGTCCTGAACTCTACTCTCCACATTCCCCCAGAGTCTGGGTGCATGAACTTGCCAAAGGGAGGTCCAATGTCCAGAAATAGCCAGAGATGCCAAAAGAATTCCTGAAGATGAGAGGTATTACATAAAATATATAATTAAGATGCAGATCCTGTATTCCTATAGTGTTTTCAAAAGATGCTATTGCTTCTTATTTATTCGCAGTTCCAATCCTCAAAATGAAATTTCTGATAGGAGACATAATCAAGAGCTAACATTTTGTGCATTTAAATTCTTAGATTTCTGTTTTCCCTTAGATCACCATGTCTAATAGCAATATAGTGTGAGCCACATATCTAACTTTAAATTTTCTAGTAGCAGCATTAAAAACAGTAAAAGAAGTGAAGTTAATTTAAATAATATTTTCTTTAACCCCATACATCTAAAATAATCTCATGTGAACATGTAATCAACATAAAAATCAAGAGAATACATTCTATTTTTCATACTAAGTCTTTGGGAACATGTGAATATTTTACTGTTATAGCACATCTCAATTTGGACATTAGCTTTTCATTGAAAATATTTGAATATGTTCTTATATTTCATAAAATTTACAGTTAAGTAAATTCACAAATCCAGGTTTTTTTCAAATTACTTCCCAATGACTGAATCAAATATTAATTTTTAAATTTAATTTTATTAAAATTAAATAAAATGAGAAATTTAAGTCCAAGGGGCACCTGGGTGGCTCAGTTGGTTAAGCATCTGCCTTCGGTTTAGGTCATGGTCCCAAGGTCCTGGGATCAATCCCCACATTGGGCTCCCTGCTCTGTGGGGAGCCTGCTTCTCTGTCTCCTTTTGGTCCTTCCAACTGCTTGTGCACTCGAGCTCTTTCTCAAATAAATAATAATATCTTTCAAAAAAAAGTAATTTAAGTTCAAGGGTGCACTACCCACATTTCAGGTGTTCAATAGGCACATGAAGCTAGTCTCTACTGTAGTAGGCTTAGACTTTTCAGAACATTAGCTAACATTCATAGAGAACTTGTATGTGTCAGGGGCTATGCTCATTATTTTACATTTGTAATTGTAGATAATCCTTATGATGACCCTGGCCTCCCTTCACTGTTGTTTCTTATAATCCCTCCACCATGCAGTAACCAGGCTGATGTTCAAAAACATGAATCTTGGAGCACCTGGGTGGCTCAGTTAAGTGTCCAACTCTTGATTTTGCCTCAGGTCATGATCCCAGCATCATGAGGTCAAA